TGCTGCCTCATTCTTTGATGATGTTTTGAATAAAATAAGTAAATATTTCGCATCGATTTTGTTGTTTCTTTGGGTTTTATGTGATAATATTCTCCACTGCAGAGTTTAAGAGCAACATATAAATTAGCTGATTCCAGGATGTAGAGACACAACACAAAGAAATTAAGCATCTGGGATTTTTTCTATTTTCAAGATATTTTTAACCATGAGCTACTAGATGAGATACTCACATAAGAATTAATACCAACAAAATTAGCAGTGGATTAGAGAGTCCTCTGCAACAGTAACAGACCGGCACACAGCTCTTCCAAACACATGAAAATGTTGAGATTTCACTAAAGCTCCAGTTTCAGCAGCTTTTCAGCATTAAACTGGTTGGTGCTGTTTAATTATCAGCAATTACCTGACAGCTGCACGGACCACATTTACATTATCATTAAGGTAGCAGTAATAATAAACAGAGGGCTTCTCTACTTACATTGCTTCCCCCACAGCCCACATCTAGATATGCAGCAGGAAACTGATGGACAGGTGGATGGATGGATAAATCAAACCTAAAGTTGAGGCTGTATTAAAATATCTGCACTAAGGCACAGGTATAATCAGCATATGATTTTCCCTGCTGATTGACAGGCAGCTCCCAGCTGTGGGTGTCTTAAAAAGGTTTGACAGAATCTAAGCTCCAAACCACACTACCAGATTTGGCCAGTATTTAACAAAATACATATTCAGTGTCTGTAAAAGTCTGTAAATATACTGAAAATGAAAACTGAAGTTCAAAGGTTGTATGATTTTTATGACCCTTTCATATAAATGTGGTTCATCCTTTGGTTGAACACAGATACAAAAGGTTTTCTTACAAACATGACTTTGTCCAGCTAAAACAATACAGAGTGTTTGATATAAAGAAAAACTTACCGATGCCCCCCAAAGAGATTTTAGCGAGCTCCAAAAGAGAAAGTCTTCTTTCTAATGTCATAATGAGACTATTTTCTAATATTAACTGTTTTTTTAAACTTGGAATTGCCTTACTAAAGTGCAAAATACATCTTGTTTATTCAAACTTCTGTCATAACTAGGGATGGGTACCGGTTCTGACATAAACGGTAGTAACCAGACCAAAAAGCAGCGCACATTTCGGTGCTTTTTATCGGTGCTATTTTTTCCTGAGATGTCACACACTTTGAATTCTAGCCAATCATTTTACGTTTCCGAGGATAGTAGGCGGGCCCAGGTGCGTAGGTTCTTTTAGAGCAGAGCTACAGATTAAAAATGTCCAAAGCGAAGCGGTCAAAAGTCTGGCTGTACTTCACAGCAAAATATGCAAACTCAGCAGCTGCAACAAGTGCTTTAAGCTGATACTGTGATACTGTCAAAGGAGGTAACACCTCAAATCTGATGA